CTCAATCAATGTGGGGTTTAACATGTTGTAATGTTTGAGACAATTGCCAACTTCATTCTCTGTATCATAGAAATAAAACTGTAAGAACTTCGGGGAGTGTTCATTAGGGATTAGAGATGGAAGGCGTTGGTTGACATGCCCTTTCACTTTAAAACTATATGCGCCGCTTCTGTTTTGAGAACTTGCTTTATCATCTCCAGTAACAAACATAGTAACTTGGAATGCACCACTACATCCTTGAATATTCTTTTTGAGTTAGCTTGTAAAATATGATGATTGGGTAAATAATTCATAAAGTTCATTCAGAATATCTAGGTGAGTTAACTCCACTCCACCTCCTCCACAATAGAAATATGGAGGTTCATATTGAAATTTGATTGCATGATAACGTCGACAAATAATGGGAGGCTTGAGACGGCACCCATTGTCATTGTCAATAATACATGAGGTATCATCGGAAGCTGATGGATATATTCCATTATCTATATCCATATGCAATGATCTCTTATCTCCAAGTGGCAAGGGATATTGTCATTGGAGAATTGGTTTGATGATGAAAAAATAGTATTTGTCAATGGTGTATCTGAAATGAAAGCAGAATAATGAAGTTTAGATGTTTTTCTTTCTCCAAAAATATGTGAGCAAAATATGTATAGAATGACAATGATTTTGAGTTCGTACTATTGTGTCTATAACTGAAGTATTCTAAAAAACTGATGGATATATTCCATGAGAAATATCCATATGTAAAGGATCTCTTCTCTCAGAGTGGTCATGGATGTTGTGCTGGTGAATGAATAGTATTTGTCAATGGTGTAGAAACGTCATGTGAAATATTAGTTTTCGAATTTTGAGATTTTTCATATTGAACATGCTGATATGCCCTTTCGATCACTCTCAGATAAGCACGGGAACATGAGTATCTATGTTGATCTTTGTTCAAATAACTCTTACGGATTGAGTGGTTTCTAGGGTTACGACCCATTTCCTATTATTACATAGTTACTACAATTTTTTAATATGCATTGCATACTAATTCAGTAAATCATACAACAAATAAGATAGGAGTAGATAAATGTTGTACTACATAAAAATGAACATATGCTATTTGATTTCATAGAAGTACAACATGCATGATAATAATAAAAAACAAAAAACAAAAAAAGAAAATTATATACAGATGGAACCAATTCTATTGATTTTTGTAGTTTTATGGGTGCATGCATGGACTATTACAAATTAAGTAATTGGTTAGCGGTTTTATCTACCATTGTAAATATATTATGGCAAATAACTCATACTATTTTCATGCGGGCTTCCTTGAAACCCCATTATTTGCATCGATCTTGGATCCAAATTTGTATCGATCCATGATCTACACTATAATGATCATGAATATATAAAATAAAATTTTACAACATTTTTATTAGAATATTTTCCTATCCATTGGATAGGAATCTTTAGTTGTGGATAAATTATCTTAGATATGGAAATTTGTGATTGTGAGGTATGGTATATTTTATGAGATTATTATCTTTGTTACAAGGAGGTTACAATCAGTACTAGCCATGTCAAATTGAATAGCTTCGGGGTATATCACAAAGTTCGAAATTTTTTTTTTAAACTTTAAGTCTAATCTATGACATATACAAAAACTAGATTTGAAATCTGCCAAACACGAGCAGTTATGACCGCTTTATATTAAAGGGTGCGGTTTGTATAGAGCCTACTTTCAAAAGTGTCGCAAAATATGGATTCAATATTGGAAATCTTTGTGACAGCCTTAAAATATATTTTCATATTTATTTATAAAGTTTAAAGCTTCCAAAAATATTGTAGATGGACAGATCTATGAACACTTGAAAATCGTGAAAACTGATAGTCTAAAAATGCATTACAAAATACACTATTTCCAAAACTTGAAATCTATTTTTTTTTCTCATGTTCATGCGTCTTGATGTCGAGATGATCAATTTGAGATATTTGAGCATCAAAACAAACCTCTTCTAGTGAGATTTTTTAGGTAGGCTCAAATTTGATTAATTAGAGCCTCGGCTCTATATAAACTTTTCCCTATATTAAAAGTAAATGGTATCTTTGTATATTTTTCCATACATATGTAGTTCACCTTCTGTCATTGAAAATAGATAGTAAAGAGTACATGTAAAATGCAAACGATGTAATCTGCCCTTCCCCATTTGGAAAACAATGATATTTCGCAAACGGATTGATATGCAGCCAGTGACCTACACGCATGTTTCCACATTGAATTTAAATCTATAAAAGTACCACCAGGCATTTATAAATGCATGATTAGTTCATAAATGAATAAATGTGTGTAAATGTTTAGGATAATTTATTGTTCAAAAAAATGAAATTTTAGGAAAATGGTATAACACGCATACCAGTATACATTATACCTACTTGTTCCTCATAAATTGATTTTCCCAAAACATTTCCATGGGATATATTAGTTTATATACACTATTTTTATTTCTATAAATTTATTTATTTATTCAAAAGCATTAACAATATGAAACAAAGAAAAAAACAAGAACACATATAGTAAGCTTCCTCAGGAGCATATTTTACTTCCACTCTCTACCTACTTGATAGTATTTTTTCAAATCTGAATTTTTTGGAACCACTTAAAAACTAGGAGATGGTTATTTAAAGAAAAAAATTGAATTTTGAGTTTTCTAGCACTTAGATCTCACCATCTAAAAATTGAATCTCGATATATTATTTTTTCATGTGCATAGAAGGTATAATTAGAAAAAATTTCTTATTAATATTAATCTATGGTTGAAGAGGTTAATCCCTAAAATTTGAGGTTCTAAAATTAAATTTAGGTAAGATTGAGTAAATGGACATTCTGGTACCGCGGGAGTAGAAACTCTTTGGCAGAAAAGAAATCCCCGTATCTATTCGCGGGAAAAGGACACCGAAAAGACATGACGAAATTTGACATCGAAATGTCAATAAATTTCGTCATATTCACCCAAAATATAGCCGTGGACGGGACAATTTCGCCGATAAATCCAATAAGAACCGCCGAAATTCCCGCCAACGTTATTTTTTGACACCGAGCGCGAACCGACCAATCTATTTTGACGTTTTCAATTTCTGTTAATATTTGTTAATTAAGATGAATACGAAGTACAAAAACCCATAACTGCCCCTCACATTAACTAATATTACTAACTGATTCAACCCTTATATTTACTTTTTTAAATAAAAAAAAACTTCAATTCTTCCGCACTTTTTTCCATTAGGGTAAATCACAAATAAGAGCATTATGTCCAGATATGCTACTCTTTTGTAATAAAAGGGTTTCTACCTATGTTATCACAACCTTGACTGGACTAATGTGTTTATTTGTTGTTTTGGCTAGCTCGATCCAAAACAAAATAAAACATGAATGCGAACTTCCTAAAATTAACATTTGATCTACTTTGGTTGAAGTGTCTGTTTCCCACCAATGAGGGCAACAAAATAAGACCAAGGCAAATTTTTTTTGCATTATATTTAATAATAGCAGAAACGATGAATTAGTTAAGATTGACAACCAATAAGTAGCTAGAAGATAATGTTTTCAATATCTTGGATAGATAATCGATGAGAAACGAGAGACTGAGGAGGATGTTGCTTCTAGTATAGGAGTGAGGCGGACAAAGTCAAGATATACTTCTGGAGTATTATGTGAGCTTGCATGTCCATGGAATTGGAAAGGAAGTTCTATAGGTCATCTATGCTTTTTATAGGATAGAATGTCGGGCGGTTAAAGAAACAACATATTTATAAAATAAATACAACTGAGGTGATGATGTTAAGATGAATGAGTATCAAGACAATGAAGGATAAATTTCATAATGAATATATTCGAAGGAACATAGGGATAGCTCCAACATGTATAAAATAAGAGAAAATAGGTTTACATAGTTCGATCATGTGTAGCATGATCGGGTACAACACCGGTTAAGAAGGATGATCTAGTTAAGTGAAAAGATTTAAAAGGAAAAAAAAAAACTTAAAAGATATGAGTGGAAGTAATGAGGAAAGATACAGTAACTTGTGATATAACTTAAGCTATCACCCATGATAGAGTGGAATGGAAGAGCAGGATATGTACAGTCGAGCCCAAATAGTTAAAAAGAAGCTTGGTTAATGACGATGATATCTTATACTACTATTATTATTGTTGTTTTTTATTATTTTGAATCCGATCTAATTAATTCGACCAACAATCAGATAAGTCTTAAGTGGACAAAGCCATCGACCAATTCCATGACCTGGTGACTGAGTTAGGGGCATGAAAGATATTACATAAAAAACAAGTGGATGCGTTGGGAATCGGGAATGCAATGGATCATTTTGTAAAATGACAAAAAGTGAAGGACACTGATTTCCTATGTGGCGCTAAACATTAAACGGTAACGACCGAACGGGACATTCCTCGCCCTAAACCATACAAGAAGCTCCGCCGTGTCATTTGACGTGACACGTGTCCATTTCGGAAGATCCCATGTGGGGTCCGCGGCTGTGTCCACCTTGTTTGATGACGTGGCGATGTCTCATTGGCCCTCGCGTCGTGATGGCGCCTTGTGATCGGTTGTTTTGGAGAGAGAAACAACGAGAGGAGAGATATAGAGAGAAGAGAGGGTGGGGGTTAGAGAGGTGAGAGAAAGGCAATTTGTAGAGAGAGGTGAGAAAAAGGCCATTTGTAGAGAGAGAGGTGAGAGAAAGGCAATTTGTAGAGAGAGAGAGTGTGAGAAAAGCAATTTGGAGAGAGAGAGGAGTGAGAAAGGCACTTTGGAGGGGGAGAGAGGTGAGAGAAAGGCAATTTGGAGAGAAAGAGACTTTGTAGAGAGAGAGAGGTGAGAGAAAGAGAATTTGTAGAGAGAGGTGAGAGAGAGAGAATTTGGAGAGAGAGAGAGGTGATAGACACAATTTATAGAGAGAGATGAGAGAAAGAGAATTTGGAGAGAGAGAAAGAGAATTTGGAGAGAGAGAAACAGCCTTGTAGGGGGAGAGGAGATTATAGAGAGAGAAGGGGAGCATTGTGGGTTCCCCAGATGGGCAGGAATAGGAGGACTTCGTGAATGGGGGGCCTGCTTTCCTGCTCAAATTGTTAACGCCATTGATGCTTGTCCGAGGAGGAATTTTCACTCTTGTCATTATTGTTTTCGCCTGTTCAAATCAAATGGTTGGGTAACATTCAAAAAAAAGAAATCAAATGGTTGGGTAACAACGGTCGAATTATGATGCCTCTTGAATTTCCAGCTCAAATGGCCACGCCCAAGAGGCTCTACCAAGTCTGGAAAGGAAGCAATGTAAATTTTCTCAAACATACAATTTGATGTTTATTTTTGCTTCTGTCCCAATTTTTTATTTTATTCAATTGATGGGTTCTTCTAGTTTTAATGAAGATGCAATTCTTGTCTGTTTTGCAAGAAAAATCTGATGTTTTCCTTTCTCTTCCTATTTCAATATATGGGTTCTCTCCTACTTTTCATGAAAGTGCAATTTTTGCATCTTCCTCGAAAATAATTCCTCCTGTAATTTGGCTCTCTTCGTATTTCGATTCATGGGTTCCTCTAATTCTATTGGGAGAGAAATGCATGAGTCTCTCTCTCTCTCTCTCTCTCTCTCTCTCTTTCTCTCATTTTAGGTTATCTGCCTCATTTCTATTTGGTTTTGTAATTCGAACACTGAATTGAACTTTTGATGAGAGAAGAACATGGCAATTGGTGTTAGTATGCTATCTTGTTGAGAAGATGGGATCATGGTTCCATATTTGGTTGGAGTTATATTTCGGAGCTGATTTTGTAAATTCTTGGTGAACCTATCCCAAAAAAAGTTTGTGATAGGAATGAGCATCAAAACCCAAAATTGTCCCAGTCTAAATTTGGAGGAAGTCTGAGGAATTGCTTCTTGTTTGCTAGAAATTGCATATATTTAAAACCTCATAAGATACCATTTTTCTGCTTGGTTGATTCATGTGGAAAGAGGGACTGGTGATGAAGTAGAGGCTTAAACTTATGCAATTTCATTCATCATCATTTGCTGCTGAAATTTAGTGTTCAAGGATTGATTTTAATGGTTCTGAAATTAAGAAGCTAAACCTAATGGCAGACAGGAGAATGGTCTTCTTATTAAGAGGCACAGTTTAAGGGCCAAAGATATATGCACTAGATGTAAACGTTTTCTTCTTGAATTATGTTATTGAAGATCACTCATTGGGATTGATATCTATAAGTGCCCTTGGGTTTTAGACTAATGGATCCAATGCATTTATGTGTCTTTAACTTTCTATTGATGTGAGAATGGGGTTGGGGTCGTAGTGGTAGCACTACTTGTACCCCAGTTATGGTCTAAGCATCCATTTTCACCTAATGCCTTCAAAAACCACTAACGATTTAGAAAACGGGTAAGGCTTGTCATCCCCACCGAATTACCCAAAAAAACAAAAAAAAAATTCTATTGATGTTATCATTGACCATCTCTTTTCAAATCAGTTCTCAAGTATTTCTTTAGTCTTTTTGCCTGTCGATAAATTTGCATCAGGAAATGAGAATTCAGAAGTTGATCTCATTTTGCAAAAGTGAGGAACTCGCCTCAGGCCAGGTACCCGTCCTTGGCTTCCTAGCCCAAGACAACTTACTTGGGCGAGTTCGTGGGGACTCGCCTGAGTCCTGTACTAGGTCAAAAGTCCTAGAAAAATAGAAAAAAGAGATAAAATATGAAAAAAATAAAATGAAGGTAATAAAAGGAAAATAAAACCAAAAGTAACCTTAAAAAGTCCAAATAAGATTAAAAAGTATAGAACAAAGGATTTAAAAAATTGGATTTATAGTTGCAGTCATTTTAAAAAAAATCCGTAAAGAAGGAAAATATGAAATAGGGATTGTGGCAAAAAAACATTCACCAATATTTTCCAAAAAATCCAAATCATATGCAAGAAATTTATATAACATTCCTATATTTTTTGCAACTTTTTGGGGCCTTGTTTTTTTCTTTAATGTGCCCGGAGTTGTACATACAACTCAGGGCAGGGCGAGGCCGAGTAACTCAGCCGGCTGAGTCCAAGTGAACTTGGCAGTTCTGTGACCCTGTTACTGTGTATCTTTCTAGATATTGATTTCATTTTGGGAAATTTATCAAAATACACCTAACTCTTCAACAATTTAATAATTTACCTTTTTTCAACTATTCCAACTCACTGTGATGTGTGTTTGGATGGTTATTTTGAAATTAAATCAAAAGATATGTGTAAAATGTTAAATAGTAGAACTATTACGTGTATTTTGATAAATTCCCTTTTCATTTTTTATGTCTGGAGTCTGGACATATTATTGAAATCTTGATTTGCATCTCTGTTGAGAATAGAATGATAATTATAAAAGCTCTGTTGTTTTTTTTTCTGCTTTACTTCTTCTGAATTCTGATTATAAATAGCTATAGTTTCCTCATGAAATGACTCGTTTGGGGCCAATGAAATAGAACAAAATCTGACATGGTTGCTTCGATTGTTGTTTCTTGTCAGAGATTTTTCTGTGGTGGTAGACTAATATTTGGTCCAGATGTGGGATCGGTGTTTCTTTCCACTTTCCTCATAGCAGGTCCGGCAGGACTTTTTTGCTCACTTGTGGCTACAAAGATCATTGAGCACTCTAAATTTCTTGGGATTCCAGTTTTGGCGGTGGCTGTGATCCTCACAATATTGGTATGTTGTTTACCTGTGATTCATATTTTTCCAGTCTTTAACAGTTGTCTACATCTTCTAATCTTCACAATTTGGGGTTGGGCTTCATTGGTCATCGTGTTAACATCGTTACATTACATTCCAAGTTTTAATCCTTCATCTGAACTGTCCATATCACCATCATTTGTTGCGGGGCTAGGAAGAGTGATGCATACTTTTCTAGATGGCACTTAATATTCCTGTGTGCTCTCCTCTTATCTAAACTTGGCGTCCTTTCTATTTTTCTTTTTTCTATGCCTATAAAAGGAGCATACGATGAATGTCCTCAATAAAATGAATTCATTCAGAATTACAGAAAACTTTGAGGGATATCCATCTTTAAATATTTTAATAGAAAGAAGTCATAATTCTGAAAATCTATATTAGACACCACGTTGGCATTGTATTGATAGGATCCTTGCATCAGTTAGGCATAGTATAAATTGTGAAAGGATAAAAATATTTAAGATCTAAAGACATTCTTTGACATTAGAGAATAGTTAAAAATGGTCAATATTATCTTCCAATTTAAGTGGGCATTAGGTGGGCACCTCATATACCAAGGACTATAAAGATGCTAGATGGTAGATTAATAGTTGAACTCAGTAGAAGTGATACCAGTGCTCATGTGCTTGTGATATGGAACAATTCCCATCACATGCATCAGTTTACCATCGAAGTGATGAAGACAGTGGTCAATTATAAACATCAGATGTAAGTCATATAGCATGATATTCATCTTTGACTAATAACTGCTTTCCTTTAATTGGAGTTGCTGTCAAGTTGAAATTAACTGTTGTCTAAATGGTGGACAAAAATGAACTGATGCTTGCCTTGATCAATCATCTTATTTCAAACATATGACTGAGCAGGTCAACGAACTGCTGAGGGCACCCGTTCTGTCTAAAACAGTTGGACCGTCTGGTTCACTGGTCAGACTGGGCTGGAAATTACAAGAAAGTATAAAAGTTATAAAAAAATCTGGTAAAAACATGGTCTGACCAGGTCAAAACCAGTCTGAACCGACCGGTTCAATTGCTGGTTCAGTGATCAGACCAGACATGTTCTAGACCAGTTTCCTAGTCCCACTGGTCAGGCAGGTCAGTCCGATACGGTCTTACTAACATGCAATAACACAATGTTCAAATTCAACATGGAAACTCTTTCCAATTTGAGATCAAAATCTCAGTGGTTCTAATTTCAACATAGCATGACATTTGAAACCTCCAGTTGACTTTGGTTCTAATACCATCTCAAACATAGGAAGGTGACATCAAATTATACAAAATATATTGAAGCTTGAGATTTAAGTACACAAAGAAATCCAGCATATTTATTATAAACATAAATGCCATAATTAAAACCATAACATTGGAAGGAAAATGATATATGCCAACAACGTTTGTAGAATAGAGGAATGAACCATATGAATAATTATCTGGAGTCTGGGTACATGGTGGCAATCAGATGCAAATCCAGGCAAGTTTTGGATGTGTCTTTCAGTTTAGCATGGAGATCCTGTCCATTATTTTGCATAGGTACTCACTTTATTGAAATTAATTGTCGCAGCCCACTATCAACTATGATACCCAATTGTTTCTAGTACTATTAAACCCAAATTTCTAATGCAAGAAAAAAATGCCTCTGTACTATAATTGCACCAAACTTCCAACTGTCTATTTTGTTCAACTAGGTTAACTTTTGGTTCACTATGTGTAAGCTTATTTATGGCGAAATGTCTTAAGCATGGCATGACCAAGGGCAATTCTCTTTTCATGAATAACACAGGATTTGATTCTTCTTCTCCTGACCTCTGGTAGAGATCCTGGTATAGTTCCACGAAATTCAAGGCCACCTGATCCTGATGAAGCTTTTGATGCCACTACCCCATCAATGGAATGGGTGAACGGAAGAACCCCACATTTAAGACTACCCCGAACAAAGGATGTTATTGTAAATGATATCATAGTGAAGGTCAAGTACTGCGATACATGCCTGCTTTATCGCCCTCCCAGGTCTTCGCATTGCTCAATATGCAACAATTGTGTTCAAAAGTTCGATCACCATTGCCCGTGGGTTGGCCAGTGTATTGGACTAGTAAGTCATAAATCTTATACTGGAGTTGGGTTTTACTGAGTTTGCTAACTCTGGGAAGTTTCTAAGAAATCACTGAAGAATTCTTTCTATGGTGTTTTCTTTGCTGTTTTTTTAGTTTTTATATATGTGTTTGGGAGTTCAATAAAATGGAAAAAGAAAGTCCAGTAACGGTTTCATTTCACAATATCAGATGGAAAAATTTCATCTAAAGGAGCTGGACATTAAGTATCACATGAGCTCAGTAATGAGGAGTGTGAATTGCATACCATGAATCTACTTGAATTGGTAAAAGAATGTCAATAATTTTGAAAAATTTAGATGGGATTCAGAAATGCAACACTACGATTATGATATATACTGTTTGCATGTTATATTAGTTATTTTGTTTCGGGACTTGATATATGCACGTTCTTTGTTTCTTAGGAACTTACCACCTCTATTATGACTTGCAGCGTAACTACCGGTTCTTCTTCTTTTTCATATTCACGTCCACTTTGCTGTGTATCTACGTCTTCACCTTTTCATGGATCAACATTCTTCAAAGGCATCATAGTGGAAGGGTGTTGAAAATCATAAAGGAGGAGATCCCATCAGTTATTCTCATAGCGTATGGTTTCATAACTGTCTGGTTTGTTGGTGGGCTCACTGTCTTTCATCTCTACCTCATCAGCACAAACCAGGTAAGCTTATCTTCTCTCCAAGTTGAGCTTTTCTACTTTCTTGACTCAAGCATATTTCTTAGTTATGCATATAATTGAGGCAATAATCTTTGAATGCTTTAGATGACCATACAAACAAATCAAATGACAATAATAGCTTTCCAGCTAAAGACCATCTGCAACCAATAGGTATAGAAACATAAATAACCATATACACCTCTAAATGTAGAGATTGACCACCTGGTTTTGAAGCTTGTCATTTCGATGAAGGATCCTTATATCTTGGCAAAGAAATACAATCCAGTTGCCTGATAAAGCCTAAAAAGATGAGACCAATGGTTTGGGCCTGAATTTCATACTAGATTTCGAAGGGAAATTTGCTCTTAAAAGGTAAGTTCAACTAAAAGTTTCGATAGATTGTGTTCCCAAATTGTACAAGATCCCTTTCCTTATACAAGCACATACAAATAATCATTTTTTCAAATTGCGATCGAATATGAACCAAGATTGTTATTGATTTTAGCGTACTTATGCCAAAGTGACAAACAATTGACCAAAGTAGATAGGGTAAAACGTTCCTTTTTTCTGTTGTTGGGCCGGGGGAGGGAGAGGGGGTGTTACATGACTATTGGCTGTTAGCCTATTCTAGTGAAATTCACTGAACTTTCAGTCCATGTGGTCATGGTCATGGTCATGACATATATTGAGACTGGGACTCGCCATCCCATTTGTTCTAGTGAATGTTAGTAATATTCATTGAACTTCCAATCCATTGTCACGGTCAATGCATGACATTGAGATGGTCTATATTCTATTTTCTTATGTTATTTTGACCGTTTCTTTCTAATGTGCAGACTACCTATGAAAATTTCCGATACCGATATGATAAAAAAGAGAACCCATATAATCTCGGTGTCTTAAAGAACTTCAAGCAACTGTTTCTTTCGAGAATCCCTCCTTCTATGAATGATTTCAGATCATGGGCAGTGGAAGGTTCTTCAGAACTGGGGCCAACAATGACTAATTTTGGGGGAGATATGATGAGCCCAAAAGCAAAGATCGATATTGAAATGGCCGGTATGCCAATCCCTGAGATATTGCATAGTTTGGACTACACAGGTATTGATGATGTTTTCAAGGAAAAGGATGAACTTGGAGATAATAAGCATGGACCTTTTGCTTTCCCAGAAGTTGAAGAAACAAGAGAATCTGATGAAAACCAAAGAAAATCAGAGGCTGCTCTTATGGATGGAGGAAGCAGCTCCAATGCCATGGGATCCCAAGTTGACCATAGCATCCACACTCATCAGCCATAAAGGTATGTCTATTTCATTCTATGTGTGTATGCATTTCTTAAAGTTGTGGGGAATTGCTCTTATTTGCCAAAGCTTGCTATTGGGCAGGATGGTTTTGATTGATGCGATGCATGCATCATTATAAATTGGAAGCAAGCATGTGGAGACAATATGTATATAGAAAATAGGTACATTGTAATCATGAGCCTATGCACATTTATACGTATCATCCATGTCAACCATAAGTTATGAAATTATGCATATGAATGAACAAGATTGATGTACCTGTTTCACCCATATCATGGAAAACAATATTCTCTTGGGGTCACGTCCTGTTCCGGTGGGGCCACTCTCACCGCCTATAAATTTCATGAATGGCCATGACCCCAATGAGCCATGATTCTCCATAGTCCATGCATTTCATCATAATATACTTTTGCTCTTATTGTTGGTCGTTTCTATTGTCATTCCATTTTTATTAATGTTCTTGTTGTTTTCATCGTCGTTGACGATGTTGTCTTTAATAAGTTATGTATCATTGCAAACAGGTCATGTTCCACAACTTTTTCTAATGAGAGGTCTATCGCGGTACAAAGATAGTGATTCTTTCCCAATTGATCGGAGGGCACCTTTTTATGTGTGATGAATCCTAGCCAAGTGTATATTCGGGCCTACGCGAGGTTAGGATTGCTATTTAAAATTGAAACCCCAAAACATAAACAGAAAAAGAATAGCTTTTTCATTTTGTGTGCTAAGAAACTTGTTAATCTTATAGAGAGAATTTTATTGTTTTGAAGTTGCTTTCCCCAATTGATTTGGAGTGGTGGAAACTCAAGAATATTGTTCTCTTCTTTTGTGCCTGATAACTTGAAAGTCCTGGAATTTGATAATGTTTATTTGGAAGATGCAAATTGTGGAAAGTGGGAAGGGGAAATCTCTTTTTTACACAATATATTCTAACCCTGCATATCGAATGTAGAAAAAGCTTCCAAGGGATGGTCAGGAACTAACTGTGTACTGCAGGTCCTTCAAATGGAATGCTAAAAGTTTATCATATCAAACGAGACTTCTCTAAGTGCTTGCACTTGGAATCTTTGAGCAGAGAGAGTGAAAGAGATGACAGTGTCTTAGACAGGTTAACTACAAACAGCAACTGGAAAACAAAGAATGTTATATCTTGCATTGGAGATTTTCAACTAAAAATGGATTGCTCCTTAAACAACATTATAATAAGCATGCAGGTTCGATCTCTAAAGCATGAGAAAAAGAAATAGGGATTGCTTAAAAAGAGACCATTTATCTTTTTGGTCACAAGTATTTTTATCCCTTAAATTTCAAAATGAGTACTTGTAAGAGGGTCATTGAATAGATAAAAAGTTAAAAAAAAAAAAATCTCGAACTTCGTAATTCGCCTCAAGCCATCCAATTTGATAGAGAATGATTGTGGTTCTATGTACAAAAAAAATAAATGGTGTAGACAATCCCAAAGAAATATTTGTAACTTTTGACACCAATCAGTAGTTGTGACGTTATCCTTCGGTAATGAGACCATTATTTGAGAAGCCTTCTCACATAAATCCATGTGAAGGTTTACTACCTCCAAACATCTATCAATTGCTTTAAAAATTATAAACCTTGTATGGGTTGGTATTGGTCCACATGCGCTTAAAAAGGTATACATGCACTTTTTAATGGTTAAGATTGAATGAACTTCATTCATAAGGCCAAAAAAGAATGTTGCTTTTTTTTAAAAAAAAAAAAAATTTTTATATTAAAAATGATGTTAATAGCAATTTCGGATTTTAGCTTCATTTTTTTTAAGTAAAATTAAATAAAAATTATAAAAAAATATTGATCAAAATAAATTTAGGGATGTTTTGGCTACGCTGTATTTAAAATATTTTCAATCATTTTTTTAAGTTCTCTTTACAAAAAAATAAACCTACAACATAAATATTTTATTTAAACTAAAATAAAAATATGAAATTAATATTTTACCATTAGATATGGCTTTGTTAAATGTCAACCATTGGAAGGGTGCTTTTGCACCGTTCCACCGGGATACTTATCCATATGTAAAAACAGTTGCCTGTCACTCTTAAGGGTAAATGCGAAAATCAGCCTTCTTACTCTATAAGGGCACAAGCAGGCCAGACTGGCCCAACAGTTTTACCTGAGATGGGCTGGAATTGGGCCCCTTCTTAGGGCTTGTTTGGCCTAGCAGACCCTAAGTTTAAGGCCTGCGAGTTACTTATGAATAATATAATATAATTTAGATAGTAACACAATTTATGTAATTTACATATATAAATTGTATAATTTATATAGGTGATAAGATGAGGGAAAGTAGATTTAAGGGGACTGTCCATGTGTAGTACATATCCAATACAACATTGGTTATGATGTGCGATTTTGTTCAAGTAGCGGACTTTAAAAGAGTAAGAAGAATGCTCAAAAGGACATGAATGGAATTAGTGAGTAAAGATATGAGGTCTTATGGTCTTACTGAACGTATAACCATTGATAAAGCAAAATGGCAAAATAAGTTTTATGTAGCGAATTTCAATTAATTAGGATAAGGTTTTAACGATGATGATGAAATTATGTAATTTGCATACAATGTAAATCACTTATGTAATGTACATTTTTGGTTTTTTCAAAAATGACAGGGGCCAGCCTGCGTTTGTTTGTGTCTAGGCCTTGGTCTGGTCCTGGCCCTTTGCAAGTTGCGCTCCTAGTTTCCACGTTGGTACATTGCAGTAGTGTACTGTCGAAAAAGTTATGCTACATTATGCACCCCATGGATATGGGAATTTTAAAGGGAAAAATATCATTTAAGGGAAAGTTATTAAAGGGGTAAAATGATCTTAATTAAATTTGAGGAATTTTGTTTTTTTTTTCATTTCACTTAAGAACCTTCTTAAAGAAACTAAAAAAAACAGTAACCCTCTAATTTAATTTCGAACCATTTGACTTTAATAATTTTTCTCGGAGGTTTTAACCCCTTAAGCCATATTTTCCCAATTTAAAGCCACGGTTATGTTGCAATTACATAAACGGTAAGGAAAACCATAAATGAAAGTATCACCCAATGTTTCACAACTCGGCTCGTGACTCGGACCCAGCCCTGGCCCGAGCCAGGTTACTTGGCGAGTCCGAGTGGACTCGCTTCGCTTGTCTTAACCCCTGAAGGATTCTTTCCTACGGTGGTGATTGGATAGGGGATTTTATCAAGGAAGATGCAAAAGAAATAAATGAAGAAGAAAACAAGAAAGAGAGAGAGATTCATGGGTTAGCCCTATTTTCACCAAAATTTCAGAACATCTCTTCTCTCTCTCTCTTTCTTTCTCTAAGATTTGCGCTTGGGTATTGGTCAGAACACAGATTTCTATTTTTTTTAGATTTTTTCTATTTTTTAAAAAAATTTGATGGGATTTAAGGTTGGGGCGAGTTGGGCACTCAATTCGCTCGCCACTTGGGCGAGGCCAAGTTATTCGGTCGAGTCACGACACACTAGTAACACAATAGGTAGGTTGTGTATGTAATTCTAGCCAGGGTATTGGGCTTCATATCACCATGTCCGTGTACAGAAATTAGCAACACAAATATGGATTTGGTGAGAATAAAATAAATAGTAATATAGGGTGGTTAGTGTTCAAACGTTTTTTTTTCTTTTTTAGTGAAGTGGTAGGTTGAACCTAGATTGGAAAAATAAATAATAATAATATATA